GAACTATTATTCAATTTCATTAATGCTAATTATTTATATTTCCTATTTCTTCTTGAGTCAGTTTTGATAAGATATATTTTTCTTGGAAATTTTCTTTTGTCTAAGTTTTCAAATAGTATTTTCCATAGTATTATGTTTCTTTATGTAAAAGAAAAGGGATGGATTTGTTCCTGATTTGTCTTCTTCTTATCCTATGGCCCTTGAGGTCAAAGGTAAAAGGATAAATGATATTCTTAATCATACAAGTTTCTATTTAATTAAGTACCTACTTAACTATAAATAGTTTATATATATTCCTCACAATTAACTTTGCATAGGAGGTACTATTATACCCTCACTTTACAGAGGAGGAAATTAGCCCAGAGAGGTGAAGGAACTTGCCCAAGGATACACAGAAAGCAAAGGACAGTTCCAGAAACGAAACCCATGTCTGAGTGACTGCAAATAGCGGCTTTTCCTACCATGCTACCTCTCCTATGCCTGAAGTGAACTGAGGCTTTCCTGCCTACAGTGGAAGGTCCATGATCACAGATTCATGAACATCATTTACAAGGCAATGGAAGGGATGTAAACAGATATCCATGTCACCAGTGCCAGCCTGTTCAGTGTCCCTGAAAGGCCCTACTACATAAAAAAATAAAGGCATAGTAACAATACTTCAAGGAAACACCAAAATGTTACTGTAGTCATCAATGGTGAATAGATTATGTAAGGGTGGAATTTTATTTACTGAGTCCTATTTTCCAATGAATACTTTAATATTCAGGAAAACCCAAGACACTATTTTTTTAAAAGTAGACTAAAAATTCCTCAAAGCAGTGAATGACTTCACCCTCTTCCTCACAGGCTACCTGCCCTTAGAATGGAGTCAGGCATGTGGCAGGAACTTAAGTGAGTGTTAGAAAACCCAGAGGAGGGGTGCCTGAGTGGCTCAGTGGGTTAAGCCTCTGCTTTCAGCTCGGGTCATGATCCCGGGGTCCTGGGATCGAGCCCTGCATTGGGTTCTCTGCTTGGCAGGGAGCCTGCTTCCCTCTCTCTGCCTGCTGCTCTGCCTACTTGTGATCTCTCTGTCTGTCAAATAAATAAATAAAATCTTTTAAAAAAACAAACAAACAAACAAACCCAGAGGAAAGGGCACCTGGGTGGCTTTGTTGGTTAAGTGTCTGACTCTTTCTTGATTTTGGCTCAGGTCATGATCTCAGGGTTGTGAGATCCAGCCCCACATCTGGCTCTGGGCTCAGCACAAAGTCTGCTTGAGATTCTGTCTCTGCCCCTCTCCCTTGCTCACATGCTCTCTCTCTCTCTGAAATAAATAAATGAATCTTAAAAGAAAAGAAAAAAAAACCAGCAAGAAACACATCAAAATATTAAGCAATGTGTCTTTAGGACATGGAATGATGAGCCACGTTTTCCTTTTTTCCATGCTCCTTTAGTTTCCAAAGTTTCCATGTTATATTACTTTTAATCATTGGGAAGAAAATGGGTTCATTTTAGGAAAAATATTAGGAAGGCAATTCCAATATTGATTTCTTTTTCTCCAAGTAGACCTCATTCTTCCAACTTGGGGTCTTCAGAAGAGTAACTAAGGATAGGGGCTGGGGGGCTGGTGGACTCCCTAAGGGCACCCGGGATGGTATAGCAAAGCTGTAGGACTTGCCTGCCTGAACATCTCTGGGAAGTCATAGACGTAGGTGGTGCCCAGGGACTGGGCCTGGAATCGCTTGGCCTGAAGCAGATCCTTGGTGACATAGGGAGTGTTGATCAGCATCCCGTGCTGGGGTCCCTGTTTGTCACCAAAGGAGTGAAACATGATCTGGAAAGGAAGACAGAAAAACAGAGTAAAGGAGGGAACTTTCAGAGAAGCATATTCTTGTCCCTTTTAATCCTACTCTCCTCAAATCATGTCACAAATCATGTCACATCACATGACATGTCACATCACATAACAAAGTAAGTGCCTCACAGAGCTAATCTTTTCTCTGCCACTGTGGGCAATCAGAACAAGAAGGGACAGTGGCAGGTGTGGGAGCATAGCTCCAAAAATGTGACTATCATAGTACTTTACACACACACACACACACACACACACCCAAACATGAGTGCACAAATACTGGTGAGATCTGAATAAAGTCCCCATTTGAGTTAATAGTACTGTACCAATGTCAATTTCCTATTTTAACAAGGTCCCGTGGTTATGTTGTTATCATTGGGGGAAGTCAGGTGAAGGGTACATGGGAACTCTCTGGAGCATCTTTTTTCCTTCAGTACTATTTTTCTAACTTCCTGAGTCTTTAATCATTTAAAGAGTTATATATTTAAAAATGGAAGTCAACAGGATATTTGATTCAGTTGACAAACGTGTTCTTAAACATGGTTGGGGAAAAGACACCCATTTCCCTAAGTGAACCGACCTAGGAGCTGCATTATAATCAACCATGGTATTCCACATCTTTTCCCAAATATGGTCCTAAAAACAGATTAAACTTGAGATCAATAACAACTGGGATTCAGAAGCTAACATTTATTGTAAACTCAGAGGAGCTACCCCAACCCATCATGGCTGGCATGACAGCCACCAAGTAGCATTTTAGCCTGTGTCTTGCTCTCGGGAGCAGATTTGCTCTGCCTCTGCTCTGACTTGGATTATCTGTGGCACCCCTTGCCCCAGCCTCCCAGCCTTACATTTCCAGATCTGGGGTCAGTGACTTCTTTGTAGAGGCTGATGTCCAGGTAGTAGCCCGACTCATTGGTGATGAACAGGCGGATGGGAACAGCATTGCCAGTGGTGGTCTGGCGGATGTTGATCTTGACCTCAGCCTGCAGCACACGGAGTTTCCACAGCCGACTGCCATAGCGCATAACCATGGAACGCACGGACTCCTCGATCTGCCCCAAATGATAGCAATTCCAATCTCAGGGCCCATTCTGTGCACACTTGTAATAAATAGTTCTAGCACTGATAACATGGGAACGATGACATATGCTGAACGCAAAATACCGGGACACAGTACGTATCCAACAACTATTAGCCAATAATAACCAGAGTCGCCATGCTAAGCATGTCAGGAGCATCATCTCCTTTCATCCTCATAATTACATGGAAAGGCCAGCACTTTTATACTCTGGTGACAGACAGAGGCTGGTAAGCGAGAGAGCTACTGTACCTACGTTACATCATGTTTACCTCCACCACGAAGCCCAAATGTTTGCATTTTCTCTTCTGGGAACTATGTGGGTTGGTGGAGTTTGGGCATCAGCATGGGCCCTGTGCACCCCATGGATGCCAAACTGATGACCCAAGACTTCTTTCACCCCAGAATCACCATCATCAACTCTGCCTACTCATGAAGAACCAGCCATTGGAGCTTCCCCCTTCCCTCCCACATGCACTCCCCAAAAGAGCCAGGAACCAGGGATGACATTTTGTTTTGCAAGACACTTTGGGCATGCATGTCATCCTAAAAGGGAAGTATGCTGTCCATGGAGGGTGACCATCAGAACAAGGATGATCCTAAGGGTGGTGGCAAAAATATGGCCCTGGAATTAAATGACAGAAGGTTGTTCACCCACAGCAATGGAGGCTCAAACATGTACATGCATGTCCTAGAACTTAGAGGTCTTGAGAGCAAGGAGACAAGACCCCAAAGCAGCAAGGCATGCCAAGTGCCATAGGCCCCTGTAAGAGCTGAACGCAGAGCTTCCCCAGAGGTGCAACCTTGGAGGGGTCCATGATGACGGTGGGCACGAAGTTCAGGAAGATGTGGTTGCAGTCGGTGCGCACGTTGGTGTTGTTGAACGCCACCTCCAGCTCGTCCATGGCCTCCAGGAGCAGACGCTCACCCTCATTCTGCAGGTACTCAAAGGAGGCTTCCTGCCAAATTGGGGGGAGGGGAACAGAGGGTAAAAGAAGAGGCCCGCGGGTAGAAACGGAGCCTCAGAGAGAACAGAGAGAGGAAAGAATTTCCCCTCCTTCAGAAAGTGTGGCAGAAGAGAAGGGTAGAGCCCTACCTCCAAGGCTTTTTATAGTCTATTATAGTTATACCTCCAAGATATTTACCAAGTTTTGCATTTTCTCTATTGGGATGCTCTGACCACTGGGCCTTCCTGAAACTGGAGGGACTGCCCCTCCCAGGGTGGCCAATTCCTAGAGATGGTAAACGACTCACCCCTGAGTGTGGTTTTCACAGGCAAACCAGCCAATCCAGAGCACACACCTCCTCTCTGGGCTTCTCAGGTCCCAGGTCACTATCCACCTGCCCTACTCACCCCAGGCCCAGGTACCAGACACCTAGAGACAGTCCCTGAGCTCCAGAACCCACTGGAATTATTCAGACTAGCCAATCCCAAGCCTGACTATCCTGCCTCACTGGTTGTTCTTTCCTGCAGAAATCACAACAAGGACTCTTACCCCATTTCCCTCTCCTCCCCTGCCTCCCCACATCCCACGTGCCTCCCCTTGGGATGATATGCCCCCTCCTCTTGGAATCTGAGAGTGACAATCTTTTTGGTGGCAACTGTCTTCTAACCTGTTAGTAAGTACAGGCCTTATTGTACCTGAAAATAATAAAACCCATTAAAATATCTCATTGACTGAGGTCACCAAAAACTGACATTAGCTTCACATCCATCAGTAGAGGATTTGGGAAAAAAAATTATACACACGGTAGGTACATCCATGCAAGGACAGAGCATGAAATCAATCATCTCCATTACCACGAGAGATGAGAGCTTCAAGGATCTGGCCAGTAGGGGCACCTGTGTGTCTCACTGGGTTAAGCATCTGCCTTCAGCTGAGGTCATGATCCCAGAGTCCTGGGATCCAGCCTGGAAGTCAGGATCCCTGCTCAGCGGGGTGTCTGCTTCTCCTTCTGCCCCTCCCCCTACTCCTGCTTGCATTTACACACTCTTGCTCTGAAATAAATAAAATCTTTAATTAAAAAAAAAACAGAATTCACTGTGGGGCACCTGGGTAGTTCAGTTGGTTAAGCATCTGCCTTCAGTTCGGGTCATGATCCTGGGGTCCTGGGATGGAGTCCCACATCGGGCTCCCTGCTCAGCAGGGAGTCTCCTTGTCCCTCTCCCTCTGCTCCTCCCCTCTATACATGCTCTTTCTCTCTCTCTCAAATAAATAAAGAAAATCTTAAAAAAAAAAAAAAAGTAGTTCTCAATACTGTTTGAAAAGTCCACAATATAATCATAGGTAATGTGTCTGAATGCAAGAAACGATGAAAAGTGATCATGGCACTCAATAAGCAGATACAAGAAACTCCTTTAATACACTGGTATCTCTCTTCTCAACTCCCTTCTCATGCAGACAGATCCGTGGGACACAAGAAGCACGTCCATGTGCTGTCAGCCGGGACGCGCACAGAAACCACTTTGCTGTCAGCCTCCCCCGTGCTGGCCAGACGGGGGTCACAAGGGCGCACCCCACGGTCCCCAGTACAGAGCGGGGACGCAGTGAAGGGCAGGCCGACAGACGAGTGAGAGGCTCAGAGGGAGAAAGAAGTGTTCGGTGGCATCTTACCTTTGTAATGAGGTCCGAGTGCCTGATGATGGCCCGGATGAAGAACCTGTAGTCTGTCACTTCTGCCCCTTCTTTCACTTTGGCAGCGCCCAGGTACAGGTGCATCTTGTGGTTGGCGCAGGGCACCGCGGTCAGATCGAAGCTGCGCATCCGACTGAGCTCCAGCTGGTAGGCCAGGGCGGGCTCCAGGTGACGGTAAATGCGATCTTCTGCAAACTGCAGGGCCAGCCAGGGCACAGAGACAGACAGACACACAGACACACACGGAATGGGACCCTGGGCTGTGTGCCTGCTGGGTCCATGCCCTGTCTTGCAGACCGCCTGTGTTTGCGGCTTTTGCACCAGGGTGGGCAGCCTTCATCACGTCACCTGTGAGCAACCCCAGGGCTCGGGGATTTGGGGTTTGGGAAGGTCCAGAGGAGAGCCTCGAGCCCCGCGGATCCTGCATACGCTGGCCCAAGCCTCTTGGCTCTGGGGTGAGCCTACCCAGTCCCCAGCACCTGCCAGGACAACCAGCCTCTGCTCGTCACAAAGAGTACCTCTCAAGAAGTCACTAACTGCCGATTTCTCTGTGGAGACGGGTCCCCCAAAGGAAGCGACAGTGCTGGAGATTGAAGTGGAGAGAAAATGAAGACCCTCACCGAAGGATGGGTCTGAATTAGAACTGAAAGGCTTTGGATAAATTCAACTACAAGCTACTGAAGAGGATGGAGTCTAGAGTCTGCGCTGGGAAGAAGCCCATCTGTTCTAAAGCAGGGACCAGCAAAGCTTTTCTTAAAGGGCCAGAGAGGGAACATGTGAGGCTGGTGGGCCACACGGTCGGTCACAGCCATGCCATCTCTGCCACCAGCACGAGAAAGCCACAGCAGACCACAGCAGATCAAGCAGGTGTGGCTGCATCCCAAGCAAACTTTGTTTATAAATATAGGGACCCAGCCTGCAAGAACATAAAAAAATGAGGTTGGGGGAGCCATCTGAGGACAAAAGTGATCCAGATAAGGGAGACACCGGAGTAAAGGCCGAAAGGATGGGAATCCTGGGGTCCTATTGAGCTCCACAGGGAAACACAATCCCAGAGGAAGGCTGGCGGCTACACATCAGTTACATGTTCTATAATACAGGGATACCTTAAGGACTGGGGACTATACTCTTCCTGAAGAGCAAAGACGTCAGGGAAGTGAGAACAGTACTACTGCTCTATGTCATACCTCGTCTCTTGCTCTAAACGTGAAAAACTTGGGAAATTCTTTCTGCAAAAGAAATCCATACAAAAAACAATGAAATCAACTCAGATTCATTTAAATACTGATATACTTGTTTTGTAATTTTTTTTAACCATAACCCATCTGCTTCTAGCATGAATCATTTGGAAAGCCTTCTCTTTTTCAGCAATTGCTCTCTTCCACCCCCATCGACAGAGTAATCACCAAATCAACAGGACTGAGTCTTGAGGAATGTTATCATACATTATAGGGTCGTACTGAGAATCGCACTGACCTCTTGGGCAATCAGGAATGTGATTCTTCGGAGTCCATAATCCACAAGGATGTTTTTCTGCATTAAAAACAAAACACACAATGGAATAGTACCTAGCTACAAAAAGACATGAAGTACAGATACAAGTTTCAACATGGCTGAATCCTGAAAACACAATGCTGACTCAAAGACACCAGTCACAAAAGACCTCATGTCGCAGGATTCCATTTACATGAAAGATCCAGAATGGGCAGATCCAACAAAGACAAAAAGTAGATTCGTGGTTGCCTAGGGCAGTGGGGAGGGTGGTGGACTGAGGGAAAATGGGGAGTGATTACTAATGGGTTTTCTTTTTGGAGGCGGTGTTGGTGAAAATGTCCTAAAATATATTTATCATGATGATGATTACATGACTGTATGAATATGCCAAAAAGCACGGAATTGTGTACTTTTAATGGCTGACTCAGTCAGTGGAGCATGCAATTCTTGTTCGTTGTGAGTTCAAGCCCCACACTGGGTGTGGAGGTGACTTAAAAATAAAATCTTTAAAAGAAAAAGATGAGGGATGCCTGGGTGGCTTAGCTGGTTAAGCAACTGCCTTCGGCTCAGGTCATGATTCTGGAGTCCCAGGATCAAGTCCAGTGGGGAGTTTGCTTTTCCCTCTGCCCCTCCCCCTCTCATGCTCTCTCTCTCTCTCTTTCTCTCTCTTTCAAATAAATAAAAGCTTAAAAAATTTTTTTTAAAAGATGAGTAAAAAAAGCCCAAAAAAGTACACACTGTATGATTGCATTTATACAAAATTTGAGAACAGTTGAGACTAATCTATGTTGTTAAAACTTAGGCTAGTGGTCAGTTGTCTCTGGAAAGGAAGAGAGGAGAACATTCACTTTTTGATCTGCATGCTGGTTACACTTGGGAATTCACTATGAAAATTCATCAGGCTGTACTTTTACAATTTGTACACATTTTCCATACGTTAAACTTTAATAGGAAAGTACTCAAGGGCAAAAATTTATTTTTAGGTAATCCCTAAACAAAATAAATATTTTTTGAAGATTTTATTTATTTATTTGACAGAGAGAGACAGCGAAAGAGGGAACACAAGCAGGGGGAGTAGGAGAGGGAGAAGCAGGCTTCCCACTGAGCAGAGAGTCCGATGCGGGGCTCGATCCCAGGACCCTGGGATCATGACCTGAGCAGAAGGCAGATGCTTAACAACTGAGCCACCCAGGTGTCCCCAAAATAAATATTATCATATATAGTATTATGGGGAAAGAAAAACCCAAAAGACAAGGAAATACGGTTCTTGCTTAACTTGTCCACACAGTAAGGAAAATTATTAGGGGAAATGAGTAGTCTTAGCCCATTTCAGAAAGATGTTAAGTAGACAAACAAAAGAATACTTAATGGAATGTGGGTTGCAAAGAGAACAGAATAACCACAAAACGAAAAGGGTTTGAATGAGGGGAAACCAGCCTAGTTATGGGGAGCCTCAATCATTTGTTCTCAACTAAGGATGTGTATCAATGAGTGAGTGTGTGTGGGAATGTATATGAATGTATGTGTGTATGGGAGAATATGTATGTAGGTATCCAATTAATGTAAAAAAAATTAAATACAAGAGCAATATGTAACATTAAAAGTCCTTCCCCTAGCAGGTGTATGTTTTCCAGCTCTCCTCTCTTCAGTATGTTATATGTATATTACATACTTTTGTACAGAAGCACATATGTTCAATCTTTTCTAGTTCTTGGATACCTTCCTGGGCTGGAATTTAGAGGGCGACTTCTTCATCCATGCTTGGGAAATCCTCATGGCCCATACTTTCCGCAGGTGAGTCTGGCATCCCTCCCACTGCTCTCTCCAGGTAAGAAACACCAACTTCCTTGAGCATCATTTGATTTGGTTTATAGGGTAGGATGAGCCCCAACAACCCAAATGTCATCTTATCTATACTGTGGGATGCCAAGTGTCAACCCAGTAAGGACACCAGCTATGTCAAGAAGAAACCTGCAGAAGGGAAATATGCCAGTATCTTCATCCTGGGACTGGATGGTAGGGGTGTGGGTTTTGTTTTCAGATTTGCCTGTGCCTTAAACATTTCCTACAGTGAACATCATTACCTTGTTGATTAATCAAGTCACGTCTAAGTAAATCACGACAATAGTGTTCCTAAGCTTTCAAGGTGTTACCTATGACTCAGCATCATTCATCATCTCCTGCCCAGGAATTGCGAGGCCAGGTCCTCTGAGGGATGCCAAGTCGGAGGAGGTAAGAGATGTCCCTCCCATCTGGATAATACGGAGAGTACAACCAATGTACAGGTAAATAGACTAACAACAACTGGAAATGTCCAACTGTTCTTGAAGTTGAGACCGACTCAGGAGAACTAACATTCAGACCTGGTAGATCTGATTAATTTAAGAGTTAGAAATCTCAGCATCCCATTTTACAGATGGGAAAACTAAGGATCAGAGAGGTACAGTAACCTGCCTGAGGTCACACAGTACCTTCCCACTGTTTGCACTACCTAGGCTTGCCAAGCTGTTCCGCATCTGTTTGCAGCTGAGGTCCTTGAGCATACGTAAGAGCTGACCCTCCTCCGGGGGTGAAAATATATGCTGGCAGTGTCCACATGTTTATGTAAGAACAGGTTCTTTGCACATAGGGCAGTCAGTATAAGTGACTCTTTAAAGATTTTGAATTTTGGGGGTTATTTCAACAAAAACATTCCCCCCCAACTATGTATTGAATATGTCCTCAAAGTGGTATATATCCCACCTCATTTCATCATTCATTGCCCTCTTTCCTAGCTAAGTGGTATACAGCTGACCCTTGAACAACATGGGGGGTCAGGGGTTCCGACCCCCTGCACGGTTAAAAATCCATGTACAACTTTGGACTCCCCAAGAACTTAACTATGAATATCCTACCATTGACTAGAAACCTTACCGATAACATGAACAGTCAACACTTTTTGCACGTTATACATATCATATACTATAGTCTTACAACAAAATAAGCTGATAAAAAGAATTAGTATTAAGAAAATTACAAGGAAGAGAAAATACATTTGGAGCACTGTACTGTATCTGTCGGAAAAAAATCTGGGTATGAGTACACCTGCCTAGTTCAATCCATGTTGTTCAAGGTTCAAGTATGTATATATTTTTTTTAGTTTTTTTTTTTAAGAGATAGAGTAGGGCAGTGAGGGGGCTTTGGCAGAGGGAGAGGGAGAAAGGGAATCTTAAGCAGGCTCCACACCCAGCCTTGAGCCCAGTGTGGAGCTTGATCCCACAACCCTGAGATCATGACCTGAGTTGGACGCTGAACCGACTGAGCCACCCGGGCGCCCCTAGGCATTGTCTTTTAATCATCACAACCCCCGAGGAGAGAGAAATGCTGCCCCCATGTTATTGGAGAAGAAGCTAAGGCTCTACCAAGTTCACCCACTTCTGCCCAAGGTTATAGGCTCTGAGGAGTAGTGGGGCTAGGCTGAGAAGCCAGGTCTGTGACCCTGAAGCACCCAGCAGGACTCAGGCGCATGGGACACCCTCGCCACAACAGTCCCTCCTTCCTCCTCCAGTGATGCAGAACCAGAGGCGATGCCCAGCACACCTTGGACCGTACAAACGTCCGGAAAATCGGCACCAGCTCCTCATCTTCCAGGTGGTCCGCATGCTGGATGGCCACGTTCAGGATGTGGATTGGCTCTTCTCTGAGGTTCTGGAAGAGCAAAACAAAGGCAGGTGGTAGAAGGACTCGGGGACCCCAGCCTGCCCCCTCCTCAGCATGGGCTCCCTGCTCGGACACTGACCTTGTTGTCTTCCTCACAGTACAGGGAAGTGCAGGCCTTGCTGAAGAGGGGGGCTTCCTGGGGCACATTGGCAAAGCAGGAGATGACTTCATCAAAATTCCTGGAGGTGCAGGGTAGAGAGGTAGGGCTGAGGGGCTGCTGCCCCGTGACGTCGAATGTCAGGATTTTACTCTGGGCAGACGAGAGACTTGGGTCCCCGCTCCTTCCCACCCACTGCTCTCTGAGCCCATCCAGCTCTGTGCAAAGCTCACGGGGATCCTGACCGGGTCCAAGATACCATCGATGGGGTCTTTCCCCAAAAGGGAAGAAGGAACCTATGTGATCTGAGATTGTGAATAAAAGGAAGTCCCGCGCTCTGGAACCTCAGGTGGGTTCCCCCTGTGCCTCTGTGCCCCTGCCTCCCATCAGGTGGGCTCCCTTGTCCCCTTGTCCCCCATCAGGCCAGGACACCCTTGCTGTTCACCTCCCCAGATGAACTAAGACTGCTATGGAGTTACACAACAAGATAATCCAAACACAATGCACAACACGGAGGAACAGGTGGGGGGAAAGGGCAGTAATAATAGAACTGACTGCTGACGTTTACTGAGCATGTCACTTAGACCTTAAACACACTTTATTATGATTATTTTTTTTAAGTAGGCTCCACACCCAATGTGGGGCTTGAACTCATGACCCTGAGGTCAAGAGTCACATGCTCTTCTCACTGAGCCAGCCAGGCACCCCTCCCCTTCAACTATACTTTAAATACAATATTTAATATACACTATCTCATTTAATTTTCCTGGTGATCCTGTAAAGTAGATCCTTCTCTTATCCCCATTATAAAGATGGGAAAACTAAGGCACAGAGAGGTGAAGTAATTTGCTCAGAGTCTCACAGCATGGAAGCGCACAGCCAGGCAGGCTACACAAATAAACAGGTGGGGGCCAGGGAAGCCCCTGCTCAGGGTGTTTGAGAGACTAGACCACTCTGGGTACCTTACGAAGTCCTCAAATCTCCTGAAGGCGACCATGGCCCCCATCCGCTGGCACAGTGGGGAGAAGCCGCTGTCCATGAAAAGCTCGGTGCTGTGCCTCAGCAGATCGGGGTTGGTGACGCTGATGGGCACGGCCATCCTACGGGGGGACCGGAAGAGAGGAATGAATCAGCTGCTTGAAGATCTGGCCCCGAGAGCTGTTCCTGTCCGGAAGCTTCGGGGAGCCAGACTAGCACGAGAGCCCGCCCACAGCAGGACGGAAGATTGTGAGTGGAAGGGATGGGGTCTGGGTCTGAGGAGTCTTGTCTGGTTGCTCAGGACCCAGTACAGACTAAGAGCTCCACAAGTGAAGAATGGATGAACGACATGCATGCACAAAAGTCCAGCCTCGACGTGGTCCCAGGGCAAGCCCAGATCATGGACTCAGCCACGGAGAAGGAACACGCTTAGTGCCCACCTCTCCCAGACAGCCCAGCACCAGGCGGCTGGCTGAAGGGGCAGGCCACATGCCAGTGCCTCCGCCCCTGTCAAACCTGCTCCTGGGACAGGGTCAGAAACCAAACCTGGACCCTCGGCCAGCAGCCCATTAGAGCTTAGCTGGTCTCTGCTCCCAGGACTGGCTGCTCACCAGCAGCAAAGAGAAACGGGTCCCCGGGAACTGTGACAGTTGGGCCCTGGAATCAAGTGAAAGAGGGGCTGTTGATCAGATGGGGTTCAGAAGAGAGTCAAAGAGCAAGCCCAGCGCCGCTCTCCTGAAAAGGGGACCTGTTTACAAGGTTGCCCCTTGGCTGGTGTCTGGGAGCTTGAGGAGGGTCCCCACCACTCCCTAAATAAGAAGAGGCTCACTGTGCCTGAATTGTCTATGCTGAGCACCTGCTTTCCTTCTGGAGTCTGGGATTTGGGAGCATGCTGGGCTGAGGGTGCGTACACGACCAGCTCCCCGTGAAAACCCTGGGCACAGAGTCTCTAACCAGCGGCCGGACAACACTGCACACAGGTCATCACAACTCATTGCTGGGGGATGAAGGTCATCCTCCGTGACTCCCCCGGGAAGGACTCTTGGAAGCTTGCACCAGGTATCCTCCAGACTTCCTCCCCCCACCCCCATCCCCCGCACCCATGACCCTTTCTCTTTTGCTGACTGTCCCTTGCTTTGCTTCATGTCCTTTCACTGGGACAAGGCCCAGCTGGACACATCCTGAGCCCTGTAAGTCTTCTTAGTGAATCCTCAAATACTGGGTGCTGTTGGAGACCCATGACCCAGGTGGGTGGAGGCCTCTGTGACTTCCTGCTGGGTACCACTGAACTCACCGTCGAGGCCCACGCTCTGCTCCCAGACAGCTAAATGCAGAGTAGCAAACTGGCAGGTAGCATGGGCTGAGTTCAGCCCACAGATTGACTTGGGTCCCTGCAGCATTTTTAATATATTCTGACACATTAATTACCCATTCACAATGAAGTTGAAGAATTTCATTTATTTTTTAAAGTCTAGATGTCCTGCTTCTCTTGTGGGGGGGGGAAAATAAGGGAAGATTTGGTCTGGCTGACCATTTGCCAGGAACTAGAACAGCATTCCCCCCAGGTAGGGCCATACTCTCCATACTCTGCCTAGCAGAGCTTGATCCCAGCCAGACTCCCAATCCCTTGGGCCTCGCCCTAAGGCCTGGCTGCCCCATGCATGCAGCTCTTCTGGCCTCCAGTCCAACCTCGCTGGACTGGTCAATTCACAGGGGTTTCGGTGCTATAGCCAGGCCCTGCTTGGAGGTGGGACTTCACTCGTCATGGCCCTTCCTGGAGGCCCTGAAGAGTGGCATTTGGTAGCAACAGCAGGCAGTCTGCTCTGAAGACACAGGCCTGGAGCAAGCTTCTGGTACTCCCAGCCAACAGCCACAGCAAGGACCTGAGATGGTCAGGGAATCCCTCCAGGGTCCTCAGTGTCTGTGTGGGTCAAAATAGGACCCTGGACCCATATTGGTCACAACCAATAACCCAAATATGCGTGTAAGTTCCTCCTAAGAAAAAAGGGCTAACTGACCCACAGGCTTCTGGAGAACTGCCTTCCTATCCTAACCGGGTTGAACTGCTAAGACAACGGAATCAAGGAAAGAAAAGAATGCCTCCTAACCGGCAGACAGTTTCAAAAGCCCTTGTACCACACCTCCCACAGTCCCCTAAATGATTCCAAGGCCACAAACACTTCGTCTCCTTTTCTCTCAACTGGACAAAATAGCATGATCTTTTTTTTTTTTTTAAATAAGAAGGGTGGGGCGCCTGGGTGGCCCAGTCCTTAAGCATCTGCCTTTGGCTCAAGTCATGATCCCAGGGTCCTGGGATGGAGCCCCGTACCGGGCTCCCTACTCAGCGGGAAGCCTGCTTCTCCTTCTCCCACTCTCCCTGCTTATATTCCCTCTCTCGCTGTCTGTCTCTGTCAAATAAATAAATAAAAATCTTAAAAAAAATAAAACAAAAGGAGCACCTGGGTGGCTCAGTGGGTTAAAGCCTTTGCCTTTGGCTCAGGTCATGATCCCAGGGTCCTGGGATCAAGCTCTGCTAGGCAGGCAGCCTGCTTCCCTTCCTCTCTCTCTGCCTCTCTCTGCCTACTTGTGATCTGTCAAATAAATAAAATCTTTAAAAAAATAAAAATTTAAAAAAAAGAGTAAAAAAATGACATAAAAATAAATAAACAGTGTCTATAAAAGGAGGTCTTCAGGGGGAAGCACTTTGTTTCTTCATCCATAACAGAGCAACACCCTTCTTCTTAAAAGCAATGGAAAGAAAAACATTCTTTGAAATCCCAAGAGATCCAAATATTCCCTGCTTCAAGAAATCATGAGTCCTGCTGCCCAGAGAGAGACAAGATCTGATTAAGTCAACACCCAAATCATGAAGAGACCATCCTAGCCACAAGCCAGGCCTGTAGGGACCCCCAGGAGAGCCAGAGCCAGAGGAGTGAGGAAGAGGGAAAGGGAAGGCTCCCAATCCCAGGGAGACGTGTTTGCTTTAGCTGAAGGTAACACATTCTACCTGACCAGGATGGTACTTCAGGTCCTGAAATAAGACAGATTAAAAAAATGGAAGGTGAGAGAACAGCACAGGCACACCAGGGTGACCCCAACTGAAAACACTTTAGGGATCCAGACAGGCCAACACACTTGCCCCAGCCGGTGGCTCCAGAGGACCCGCAGGGGCTATGGAGGGCACTCCGACAGAAGAGGCATGTGGCTCAGATCCCTACCCCATGTGAATGAGCACTGGGCCCACACCAAGGGAAGGCCAGGGCTCCTTGTGTGTCAAATGGAGACGACAACACATTTTTGGCCAACAGATGGTGAGGACTGAATGATATAGAGTATGGAAGCACTTAGCACGGTGGCCGACCAACAACATGCCATCGGGCAGTAACAGCACAGTGATCATCATCATAGGGGTCCCTGATGCTCACCAACTTTCTACATGCCAGACACTGCCCTAAATGCCACATGCATCATATCTCGTGGTTTAGGAAAGCACTGTTCAATGGAACTTTTGATGGTGACAGAATATTCTAGAACTGCAATATCCAATATGGCAGCCACAAACCACATGTGGCTGCTGAGCTCTTTCAGTGTGGCTTGTAGGACCCAATTTTTAACTGAATTTCACTATTTTAATTTAAAAAGCCCACACATACGGGTAGCAGCTACTCTACTGAGCAGGGTGGGTAGAAGCGGTAGACACCAGATTATCTCATTTTAGCGATGAGAGATGGAGAAGTAGGCAGGTCCCACAGTGGAGAAGCGGTATCCCTGATTGTCTTCCCCAGACATAATTGCTTGGTCCCTCCAGAGCCAGGACTAGGGGGATTAGGGAGAAAAGGAAAACACACTACCCCTGAGTGCACACCACTCCATACCTGTTTGGGTGGGAGGAGGGCAACATGAACCGGAACTCCACCACGCAGGTGCCATCTGGGAGTTCCCGGTGCTGCAAACTGTTTAACTCATAGGCAATGTAGCCCCGTCGCACATAAACCTAATAAGGCAGAAGCACAGAAGACATTCTCGCAGAGGGCACTGCAGAGTGCCCATAAAACCCACTGAAGCTCAGGCCAGAGGGATCCAGAAATCACCTCTAAGTAATCCCCAAGAAGAAGCAAAGAATGAATTTGCCCACATTTTACATTACTTTTCTTTGCCAAGGGCTAAACGGTAAATGTTTTAGGTTTTCCGGGATATCTGTCTCTATCCCAGCTATTCAGTTTTGTTGCTGCAGCCTGGAAGCAGCCGGGGACAATATGTACGTGAAGGGGCCACCTGGCTTCCAATAAAACTTTATTTACAAAAACAAGTGTGGCCCATAGGCTACGGTCTGCTGATTCCTTCTCTAGAATGGAATATTCTAGAGAAGGTGCCACCCGAGAGAAATGTAACATAGTCACATGTGCAATTTTAATTTTCAATATTCTAGTAGCCACTTCACAAAAAGGCAACAGGTGATTATCAGTTTAATAGTATACTTAATTTCATCCCCAATAACCAAATGTCATACCATCTTGACATAGACTCAGTACAAAAAAGTGTTGATACAGTAACAATTCTTTCTCCATACAAAGTCTTTGGAATCCGGTGGGCACTATATACTCAGAGCATAGCTCAACTCAGACCCACTGCATTTCAAGCCCTCACTAGCCACAATGTGGCCAGTGGCCGCCATATCGGACAGCACAGTTCCAGAAGTTAGACAGGAGTTTTTTAATTGAATAAGGAATATAAGAATTGTGTAGCAAGAGTTAACATAGCAGACCTTAACTACTATCCTTTAAAACACCCTTGGCTGGCCTCTGGGAACTTGGATTTGGGAGGGTTCCCATTATTCTCCAAAAAGAATGGTTCATGGCAGCTTAGTTGTACAAAGAGTGATTTTATGTTGAACATGCACTTTCTTTCTGGGAATTTAATATTTTGTTACATACTAGGACCAGCGCCCATGAAAACCCCTGGGGCACTGAGTCTCTGAGCCTCATTTCAAATATGTTGTCATGGGGTGCCTGGGTGGCTCAGTTGGTTAAGTGCCTTAGGCTCAGGTCATGATCCCAGGGTCCTGGGATCAAGCCCGCATTGGGCTCCCTGCTCAGTGGTGAGTCTGCTAGTCCTCCTTCTCCCTCTGTCCATCCCCTCCCTCATGCTCTCACTCTCTCTAAAATAAACAAATAAGATCTTAAAAGAAGGAAAAATCACATGTTGTCATAATTCATTCCTTGAAGAATCTAAAGTGCCTACAGGACCACTGTCAACTTGTACTTGGTTTCCTCTGGATGTCACCCCACGCACTTTGTCCCTCTGCTGATTGTGCTCTGTGTCTTTTCACTGTAACAAATCAGCCATGAGCATGGCCATCTGCTGAGGCCTGTGAGTCTTCCTAGTGACTCATTGGACCTGGGGCTGGTCTCAGGGACACCCACACATTTAGAGCACAAACGAAACTCTACACATCTCAGTAAACCAAGTAAAACTATAATGTTTACAATGCTCATCTTGAGTAGTGGAGAAAAGGTTAGATTGTGTTCAATCAACCTGCCAAACAAAGGGACAGGATGCTCAAAAGATCTGGAAAATTCTCCAACAGAAAAAAAGGGGGGAGATTTAGCACTCAAAGCAAAGAAGGTGGGCTGCTGCCTTCCATCTGACATAGGATTGCCCCTCAAATAGGACAGGTGCTTGGACACATCAGATGCTTACTCATCTATCTTCAAATAACCCTGTGAGGTAGGTATTACTGCCCCTACTGCGGCGTGAGAAGCTAAATGTCCAGAGAAGGCAGGCAACTGGGGAGAGGTCACACAGCCCATACCCTTGCACAGCTTGCTCCCACTGACTGGAACCTCTTTGCTCTTTCTCTCCACCAATTCTGACTCGCCCTGAATGCCTGTTTTCATATCACTTTCTCATCCAAGTTGGAGCTAACCCTCCTTGTCAGGTTCTATCTGCTGTCTGTTTCTCAGCGTAACAGCTGCATTCCCACTGCAAGCTTATCATGTGGTAAAGAAGAAAGCATTTAGCACGTGTCTCTCCCCAAACCAGAGAGAAGCTGCCTTAGGGCACACTGGCTGTTCCCTGGTTTATCCTCAGCGCCCAGCACACAGTGGGTCTCGATATAGTTGAACATTGGAAAGAGGGGGGAAAGGGACTGATGAACACTACTGGATCTCACTCCTAGAAACACGGAGACCTGAAAAGAATTTTTTTTTTTTTTAATTTGACAGAGAGAGAGATCACAAGTAGGCAGAGAGGCGGCAGGGTGGGTGGGGGGAAGCAGGCTCCTGCTAAGCAGAGAGCCCGATGCGGGGCTCGATCCCAGGACCCCGGGACCCCTGGAGGCAGAGGGTTTAACCCAATGAGCCACCCAGGCGCCCCTGAAAAGGATTTTTTGAGCTGAAACCAGGCAGGAGGGAAAGATTACAAGCCAAGGAGACTCTGGGGCTGTGACATGTTCGCAAGCCCCAAACAGTCCCCATGGATACCCAGTACCAGGATGGGTGACCCACAGGGTCTACAAAGGTGGCAGAAGAGGGAGTGGGGGCCATAGGGGACAGAGACTCCAAGATCAAGAGGGTTGTGCTGCTGGTCGCTCCCTTCTCTGCCCCATCACAGCGGGAGGTCACCTGAAATTGTCACCTAGCTTCCTCTCAGTTTTTGTGATTCCCAGCAGATGAGTCTTCAAAAGGTATGTAATACAGGGAGTCAGGGAGTCAGCACAAGGGGCCTGGGCTCTTGGTGGCTAGTATTTAGAAGTGCTCTGCTGAGATGAGGACGGGATGGCACAGGAGGTAACAGGGATTATCAGCAAGGACTCTGGACTGGGACCTCGTGTGAGTTCCCTTCCCTGGAAGATGGGTGCAGCAACAGTCCCTACCTCGTGGAGAGAAGGACAGGATCCTGCACTTGAGGTATGTGGTCCAGGGTCAGGTGCATGGCCAGCAGGCAGTGGGTGCAAGAACTGGTATTTTGGGGACAGATGCTGTTCCTGGGGCCTCCCTCCTACTTACCTCCAAGGATGCCATGCAAACGACTTTATTAGCATGGTAGAAGAAAGTGGGCAGGACATCAAATATGGTCGTTTCGGAGAGTATTAGTTTCTAGGGGATGGGAAGAGAAGGAAGGGAAACATGAGCGAGTTTCAGCCACAGGTCAGATGAATGGAGGGATGGGGCAGGGAAGGGACACGCATAGTGGTTCTATCAACAAAACGCTGCCAGCGTGTAGCATCAATCAATAGTTCTGGGAGGACAGCACCTAAGGTTCCCCGTCCAGAGGTGGAGAGGGTGGCTGGAGGCTTGCCAATGATCCAAAGGTATGGGGTGGGGGAGCCCAAAAGATGAAGCCATGACCTACCATGTGAGTGTGCATGGTTTCCAGTAAGCTCCACAACACCTGAGTTTTTAAAATGGCCCTTCCGGGGGGAGCCTTGCTGCCCGATACCCTGTCCATCCTTGCTGCCCGATACCCTGTCCATCCTCTCCCAGAGGCTCCCTGAGGCCCCCTCAGGCAGCCCCGGCTACATGGGGCTAAAGCATTAGTGTTTCCAACTGTGTGCTGAACCCAGGTGCGGGCGCACTGATGATACGGGGAGCGCATCTCCCAAACACCCCACCCAGGGCACAGTGTGTGCTCTGGAAGGGGGACCGAGGGCGGCAGCCTCACCTTGAGGTTTTCTGGGCAGAACTGGTGGCCATACATGTCGATGGCAGACAGGAAAATGGACTCCACCTGGTTGTGCCTCAGCTCGTAGGATGGGAGGTGGGAGGCGATCAGGACCTGCAGTGGGTGGGGACGGGGAAGCCAACCTTACAGGGGAGAAGCCAAGGGCCGGGCCCCAAGATGGGTCACAGAACAGCAGCAGAGGGGCTGTGCCCTGTGAGGGACAGGAGAGGGGAGGGACGGCAGCCCACGACCCTACCTGTCTGGCTCTGAGGGCCACTTTGCAATGCTCACTCTTGCTCAGCTGAGTGAGCTCGTTGAGGATGGAGGTCAGCTCTTCCGACAGGGAAGGGTCTGGACCACAGAGCTCATCCTTGGGGGGACAAAGACAGAATCCAAATGGCTTTCCTCCACCAGAATGAAACAAGCCAGCACTCGCCCTCAGCTGGGGGGTGCAGGTACCCCAACAAGCCAGATGGCTCCTCAGCTCTCTGGGCATCCCTGGCACAGCCTGATAATCACGCCCATGCCCTAAACACCCACTTGGACGAAAAATATAATTAAGTCTTTACCTATATCACTATTAATAACCAGCTGTTATCAGGCAAGCAACTCCACACTTGACATTCATTTCCCCAAACCCTCCCACCCTTCTAAGGAGTTATGATATGATTCCCATTTTACAGATGAGGAAACTGAGGCTCAGAAGCAGTGTGCCCTGCCCCAGGCCACAGAGCATGGGCATATCCGAGCCATATCCAAACCCCAGTCTATTCTGTCCTCAAGGCTTCTAACTCTTTCCTGCCTGACTTAAAGGTTTGACAGTTTCAGAGAACAGTGAGGAGGGGGACTAGAGTTGGGTACAAACAAGAGTAAGGTTCACACGGGATGCTCTAGTGAGGGTGGTAAGCCACCCTCTGGGAGTCCCCAGGGGGAGAATTCTGGAGACGTTAAGGGTAGCTTCTTACAGGAAAGAGGATTTGGAGTTGCAGAAGAGGTAGAGGGACTGTGGTTCCCATGAGCATCCCTCCTCCCACTTTGGTACAAGGGACCTTTTGGCTAGAGACCAGAGGGCTGTGAGCACCTGGTCTGCCCTAAATGCAAGCAGGGCTCAGGAAGGGCTCAGAGCAGGTGCTCCTCAATACCCGCTAAAGACATAACAATGACTTGCTGGGAATGGGAACACTCCAGCAACATGCCTCCACCCCTGCCCCAGCCCAGACTATTCTCCAAGAAGTCACCAGATGGGGGGGACCATGGGTACCCCCCATGAGCCTGTTCTGTTTTCATGATCAGAACATTTGTAATGCATTAATATTTCACACTTGTACACAAACATACAAGCCTGTTTGTGCTGAAGAAATCACATAGTTATTCTAAACTTTCTCTCCCTTCCCCAGTGTGATTTGCTTTAGAAATTAAGTCCCCTCAAAGAGTCAAACAATTTCATTTCCAAGTAAATATTCAATTAACAAGTATTTCTGGAAAGTCTCCTAGGCACCAAATACCATCAAAGGCAAAGAACTCATCATTTTCAACAAATGGAACCAAGAGAGCCAAAAGAATAATGGATCTTGCCACACATCCCCCAAACCACACCTGGTACCTCTTCAGCCCCCTTCACTAAGAAACCCCAAGCAAGTGTCCTAATTCTTCGGTCTGGGCCCCCCTCCACCAGGGTGTCCTCTGGTATACATAATTTTTAGCACCTTCCTGCCCAGAAGAGAGTCAGTATGTACACAAAGAGTAACCAATAGCAGGATAATCCACAGCTCTCATCCCTGGCCTTTGAATGGCAAGCATATGCTAACTGAAAACAGGCATACCTTGCTTTACAAACACTCAGCTGAAAAAACCTCTATCCAGGAGAGGTATTTTGCAAAGTATTATATACAATTTTAGCAGTGGCCTTCCCTGCAGAGTGGACATCTCTTTAGGCATAAGTTCCCAATCATGGCTGCATGTTGCAATCCCCCCCAATTTAATTTTGAATAATTTCAAAAACTACATAAGAATTAAGGATCAGTTGGGGCTCCTGGGGGCTCAGTCAGTTGAGCATCCAACTCTTGATTTCTTCTCAGACCATGGTCTCAGGGTCCTGGAATCGAGCCCTTGGTTGGGCTCCGCACCTAGCGGGGAGTCTGCTTGAGGATACTCCCCCACTCTCTCTTCCTCTGCCCCTCCCCGCCAACACTCTCTCTAAAATAAAAAACAAAATTTAAACAAAATTAAGGATCAATACATTGAAAATCCCTATACTGATGATCCAGATTCACCAACTGCTAAACTTTTACTACTATTATCACATCTACTTTTTCTCTGGTAAGCATGCACATGCACACGCACACACACATACGCATGCATGTGCGCACATATATGTTTCTTTCTTTGAAAGTCAGTTACAGACACCATGATCCTTCCCACTAAGATCGTACCTCAAGAAAAAAGATCTCTTAGCTAACTAAAGAGCCATTAAAACACCCAAGAAGTGGAACATTAAAGTGATAATATATAACATACAGCTTGCATTTGAGTTTCCCATTGGGAAAGCTTTCAAAAAGTATTAATGCCTGGCCCACATCCCTGGAAAGCCTGATTTAACTGACCAGGGTAGGGCCTGGGCATCTGTGTCTTTTAAAAGCTCCCCTACACCTACCCCGGGAGATTCTCACGTAGAGCTAGGATTAAGAGATCCTCATGCTACCCTAGATTTCAAAATGATTCTTTACAAAAATATCAGTATTTATGAATCTATCTTGTTAGGGTGTTAACTATCCTATAGGCCCAAGCCCAAATCTGGCCCATTGCCTATCTTTGTAAATAAAGTTTTATTGGCACATAGCCACACTCATTCACTTATAGATTGTCTATGACTTCTTTCATTCTACGACAGCAGAGCTGAGTTGTTGCAACACAGTCTGTGTGGTTCTCAAGATTAAAATATTTACTATCTTTACAAAAAAAACCAAAACAAACAAACAAACAATAAAAACACCTTCCAGTCCCTTCTTGCTATAAGTCAAGTCCACCTCTCTCTTAATCTCTCTTACTATCTGCGGAGTCTACATTTTCCAAGGGGGCCATCAGGAACCATATCAAGGAAAAACATCTTTACCTATAACGGACGCTAATTATCATCTAGTAGGAAGAGAAATAAGAACAAAGAAACTCTACGCTTCTCCAAGAAGGGAAAATAAAAATCCTCCCACAAGACTCAGAATCCAATTATTGCCTAGTAACTCACTACTCTGGGGCCAGGCCATGGGTTCAAATCCCAGTTCTGCATTTAGAAGGTGGGTGCCCTTGGGAAAGTGACTACTTCAACTCCGTGCTCTGCCAAAGCAAGTGAGAACAGGACGTGCATTGCTTGCTGTGAGAATTAAATTAGTATTTGTAAAGCATGTTAGGAGTGCTTGGTGCCTGGTAGGTGCTTTGTGTGAATCATGATCTCTTGCAGTGGCTCAAAAATCCCACCCCCTGCCTGGTTTTATAAACAAAGCTTCATTGGGACACAGCCACATCCATGTGTTTACATTGTACAAGGTCAGGACTGAGCCAGTATGAACCAGCAAAAGCTGGAATATTTATACTCCGGACCTTTCCAGAACGTCTGTGGACGCCAAGCCACTCCCACAGTGAGTACAGGGCGCCCTTTCTTGCTTACGATCAACATGATCACCAGCTGGTTCTTCTTGGCCACCTGTGCGTGGGAAAAGATGCAGTCCAGCACCTGGGACATGTCTGGCTTCAGCCGCTCCCTGAGGTTGATCACACACTTGTCGTAGTGAGCTAGAGGGAGACAAAGGGGTAAGGCTCAGGGCCCTCCCGCCCTGTGGGCTTGTCACCAGTGCTGGTAGCAACTCTTGCCTTGCTGGAAATGGTGCTCCACCCGTAAATATCTCCGCAGGAGGTCCAACACCACCGCCTTCATGTAGCCTCGGGTCCCACTGCGGTATCTGGGGAGGAAGGAGAGGCTGCTTGAACCATCAGTTCCACTTCCTGGGGCACCCGCGTCTACAGCGGGGCTTTTAGGACTTCCAAAAGGAGAAAAACAGTAATCCAGTATCTGGAGGCTGTATCTCCTAATCCTCAAGGCTGGGAGCCATATGTGAGTCGGTTCATTTGGATGCACTCTGTAGGCCAAGGACAGCAGTGACTTGCCCAAGGTCATACATACAGCCAGAGTCCAAGTCTGAGCATTTGGATGGCTCCTGCTCATCCCCAGAGAGAAAGAACAGGAGGCTGAAAAGGGTCAGCCTTGCATACACAGTTGATACCAAAAATGATCAATTAACCATCCTAGGTATAAAGAGAGCTTGAAAGATAATTAAACGAAACTTGGAAGATGTTTATCGATAGATCCTTATGTAAATTTCGCTTCCTTTTTAGAAAACAAATTTTAACCTGGATGTTTGCTAAAACATTCTAAATCATTTCTGCATGTAGGAAACTGAGTTTCCTAAGTGATATGACATTGAGTTTTAAGGGCATTAAGACCAGTTTAACCCCAGAGTTACTGACAACAAAAGGAAGAACCTAAAACATGCACTTATTCAAATGTGATCTTAAAAAAATACATAGAACGGAGCTTTGAGGGGCGCCTGGGTGGCTCAGTCGGTTAAGCATCCGACTCTTGGTTTCAGCTCAGGTCATGATTTCAGGGTCGTGCAATCAAGCCCTGCATCAATGACGGAGCCCTTGCATCAGGCTCCATGCTCAGTGGGGAATCTCCCTCTCCATGTCCCTCCCCCCACCCACGTGCATGCGTGTGCTTGCACTCTCTAAAATAAATAAACCTTAAAAAAAAAAAAACCAGAGCTGTGATATTTATGTTTAACAGAAAAATCTGCTAGGGGATTGTTCATTTTCTTCTAGGTGTTTCTCTGAAGCTAAAGTGTGGGTTTAAGGTTAGCGGCCAAAGAGTTCTGGGGAGGGTCTTCCCTCCTAGCCCTTGGCTGTGAAACTCATTCTTCGTGGGGAATCCACACTAAGACTCCCTTCCTTGGCTCAATCCTATATAGGCAGTCTGAGTCCCCATGAGACAAGGCGCTCCCTGAAAAGAAGGGCAGTCTCCAAGGGCCCTACTTCTCTGTGCCTCTGTTTCCAGCACATGGTGACCGTTCATGTACTTCATCTCCTCCAATTTCAAACTGTTTCAATTCTGTCTTTATAAGCACAGCTTTCCTATGAGGTAGAGTTTTCACACAATAGGGTGGTTCTTCTTGTCATCAGAATAGATATCCCTGCTCAAAGGCTACTCAAAATACAAATTCCTCATCAACCCTCTTCAACAGTGATTTCAAAATCACAGGATAATCTGTAGAGTCCTTGATGGCCTATAAAATCACCACATCCCATGGTCCTATAGGCAAAGCTACCACAAGGACTCGCTGTGTATTGGCACTTTAGAAGCGTTAATCCAGGGGCACCTGGGTGGCTCAGTGGGTTAAAGCCTCTGCTTTTGGCTCAGGTCATGATCTCAGGTCCTGGGATTGAGCCCTGCATCGGGCTCTCTGCTTAGCAGGGAGCCTGCTTTCCTTCCTCTCTCTGCCTGCCTCTCTGTCTACTCGTATTCTCTGTCAAATAAATTTTAAAAAAAGAAGCATTAATCCACTCATAACTCAGAGTGACTAATTGTGGGTGAAGGGTCTTTATTCCCATTTTACAGACTGGCAAACTGAGACCACAGGCGAAGAGGGCCTTGCTTGGGGTTTCTGGGGTTAGGAATACCTATGCCAGGATTGTAATCAGAGTCTCTGGACCCCGTGCTCTGTCTCTTGGTTGGAGCCTGCCCTGAAGAGAACCCCAGAGTGCTGTATTAGGGTAATGCACAGACAATGAATGTGAAAACCGCCCCACACAGAGGACCGAGGACTCACCTCTGGACCAGCTGCACGATGCTCTGAGTGTTCATGAAGAAGACCTCCCGTTCACCCTTCCGCTGCAGGGTGGCTGCGTGGCAGTCTAGGATGGTGGCTATCTGGATGGGGACAACAGGACAGGCCTGGCCACTCGTAACCACACTATCTGGTCACCATGCAGGAGTCACCAGGATGACCCACCCAAGGCTCATTCAAAATCTGAAAATTTCAGCTCCAAAGCCCTCTCTGGCCACCTGGAAGTAGCTGTTCATCCCGTTCAACACAGTGTTTGATGAATCTGAGCTTAGAATGACATCAGTCCCATAAAGACCCATGCATTATTCTTCTCCACAAATACGAATGGACTGGGGGAAGGAAGGCAGTTTGCAACCCCAAGGAAAATGAAGTGGGCTGGGTGGGGGGGATCTTGTTTTTATAACTAAATTTAGTGTTATGAAGCATACTGTTTTTGGCAACACAAAGTATTTTTAACAAAAAACCTGTGCCAACAACAAACTCCTAAAAGGTCCAAATAGGCTCTTTTCTTAACCGGGGTTCTTCAGAGTTTTGTCAAGATATAATTTACATATCATAGTATTCCCCTTATTCATTTATTCATTTTTTAAGTAGGCTCTACGCCCATTGTGGGGCTGGAATTCATGACCCCAAGATCAAGAGCTGTAAGATCTGGGGCACCTGGGTGGCTCAGTCGTTAAGTGTCTGCCTTCAGCTCAGGTCATGATCCCAGGGTCCTGGGATCGAGCCCTGCATCAGACTCCCTGCTCGGCGGGAAGCATGCTTCTCCCTCTCCCACTCCCTATGCTTGTGTTCCCTTTCTCACTGTCTCTCTCTCTCTGTCAAGTAAGTAAATAAAATCTTTAAAAAAAAAAAAAAGAGCTATAAGATTTATCGACTGAGCCATCCAGGCACCCCCGCCTTTACAGTATACAATAAATTGAGTGTTTTTCAGTATAGTTGTGCAACCATTTACCACTATCCAATTTGAGAGCATTTTCATCACCCCAGAAAGAAACCTGATAACCAGTAAGAGCTACACCTGAGCCCTCTCCCCCAGCCCCTGGCAACCACTAATCCACTTTCTGTCTCCATGGATTTGCCTCTTCTGGACACTTTGTGTACACGGAACCATACAACACGTGGTCTTTTATGACTGGCTTCTTCCGCTTAGCACGTTTTCAGGGTACATCTATGTTGCGGTATAAATCTGCATTAGATTCCTTTTTATGATGGAACAACATTCCAAGCTCTAGAGCGGTTGACCTCCAGGAATGACCTGATCTATGCTGACTGGCAGATCTATGCTGACCCACAGCTCCGCAAATCACAACCACGTGGGTGGGGGCACCATGATGGTATCCGGCCCTTCCAACCAGACAGAGGGCAGAAGAAAACTGACAGAGGAGGTTCTTCCAAATGCAAATTACCTTGAAAACGCTTGATAAAGCAACACTCCCTCCTCCGCAAAAAAAAAAGCACAAAATCAGGCCAACATAGAATTCTTAGAGATACGTCATACTACTCTGGAATGCTTTCCATTACTTAAAATTATTCTACATACATAGGGCCCCAAGATGATCACCTTACAGACACCGGAGGAAGAAAATCAAAGCTACAGACTAGCAAGAGAAACCAAACTCCCTCTGCTTCAGCCAGAGTGCGTTGGGGGAAATGTTCCCTGTATTTGTACCAACTGCTAACTCCTATTCTAAACCCGAGTTTTACGGAGTAAGGCCCCATAACTGCGTTCATCTCAACGACTTTGGGGAAAATGCTGGGGTTCGGTAGCGAAGGGCTCAAAAGGAAATGCTCCCTGGGCGCCATCTTTGGTGCTCAATCAGAGGCCATGGTGGCCGGAAATGGAACTCCCAAGGCGGAGCCTGCAGGCCCCCCAGTGAGGCCGGGGGTTGGGGGAAACGCACCTGTTGGCTGGGGAACTGGCACAGCACTGAGGTGATGTTGCTGGCGTACTGAGCCATCACCCTGCGGACAGACTTCTCCACGGGGGCAGGGATGCGGCCAGACACGCTGGTCATGATTTCCTGCAGTTCCAAGAGCGGCAGTGACGGGTGCCGGAGGGTCATCATGAGCTTCTGCACCCACTCCTTCAGCTGAAGCAGGGACCAGAGCATTAGCTGGACGCCCTGTGTGGGGGCATGGGCACCGCCACACTCCACAGGGCACCCGACACACTCAACCCATCCAGACCCAGTACACAAGGAGCCAAACATCTACACCTGGCAGCCTCTGGAACAGTCCTGAGTGGAACGGCCCCCTGACTCCAAGGGGAATGCCTGGTTTCCCCCACACCCCCTTCCCTCTATGCATCCAGGCAGCTGGCATAGTGTGGGAACAAAACAGGAGGCCATGTGAAGAGCTAATGTTTGTGGGCACTTTCCACTCTAAAACGTTTATTTGTATGTTCTCTAACTTCCTTCACTAAAGACCTCAGATTTCATGGCATAAACCCTCCTGGCTCTTCACACAGACCAGCACACGTGTGTAGAATACACACCTGTCCCTTGCACGTGACTTACCTTTGTGCTAAAAATAGGCTCCGGCAGACAGTAGCCACTCATGACGTTGGTCAGGTTTTCCAGGACATTGTGGAAAACCTGGTGCAGTTTCTCTCCCATGATGGGTAGAGTTTGCTGGGAAGGGAGCTTTCCTGTGAATGGCTTGGCCTGAGGAGACACAAGAAGAACCAGAGGTCAAGGACACCTGCCTCTTGAGAGAGACGAAAGAAACAGAGGAGGGAGGCAGATCTACCAGTACAGTGCACAATCTAATTAGGATGATGCCTGAGGGAAAAAGAACAAAACCGCCCATAAGAACACATATTGGAAAGTCAAAATTGCTAAAATCCCACTTCATGTGGGTTTCCCAAACCTCCTCCATTGAGAATGCCATAGTCTATTGTTATACACTCCTAGTGATTTTGAGGAAGTAAGATCCTTTTGTTTTGCTCTGCTTTCTAATCAAAATTATTTCCCTTGTTTTCCTTATTTATTTTAGGTCTTTACTGAATCCCAAAGATAAACAACTAGCAGGATGGAAATTTATGAAATTCTCATGCAAAGGTCCCAGCTTTTTGTAAATCATAAACATTTGTCCTTAGAGAACAATAACAACAACAACAACAAGCCCACCCTCAAGGGGCAACCTTGACCCCAGGAGCCTGTTTATTTATTTATTCATTCTACAAATGTCCACCAAACACATACTATGTGCAGCCCTGGGGCCCAGGAGCTTTAGGATGAGCTACTCTGCTGACCCAGAACCCTCAGCTCCCTGCCCCCTCCCCTATCCCAGCCCTGTGGGCTCGTCCCATCCTTTGAGATAAACTGGAGGGTCTCCTTCTCTACGATCTGGTGCTGCCTTCTCCTGCTGGGCACCCACGGGGGTCGGGGGGGAGGCAAGGGCAGCCCCTCTTACTATACTTACGGCGCCATAGGATAATCTTGTAGAAAAACATGAACCCCCAGGGACTGGTGGCTGGGCCCTGCCTCCTGAACCTGGCATGGGGCGTGGGAAATGGCTGCTGAAAGGAATCACATGCAGGCACACACACCTTTCTGGTGATCTGAAAAGGCTCAGTCTACTTCTGACTTTGGGAACCCACTACAGAGAATAATGAAAAAAATGAGAGGGAAACTGACAGAATATTCTGGAAAAAAAGAGACGATCTGGTTCCTTTCTAAATGCTCCCTACCCTGGGCACAAGTACTAACTATTACAGGGAAAAAAAAACACAATATAGGCACGAATGAGTAGCTACATCTTCATGCCTTGCTTAGGAGGGTGTAAACATTCATGTATTCGGCAAGACCTGCTTTCTTCTGAGGACGCTGTATGCCCCATGCACTGTGCTAGGCACCAAGAATACAGCGATGAACAAGAAATGTCCTTGACCTCAGAACTCCCAGTTTCATGGGAAAGCTTAACAATTAATTATAAGAATCTAAATTGGAGATCGCCCTGGAGCTAGGCTTCAGGACCATACATATCACTGATACTCTGGTACCCCCCACCGCTGGTTCCAAGGACAGGCTACTGCCCCCACAGCACCCGAACCCCTGTAACTGCATCCAGCAGGGGCGAGAATGACAAAACACACTGGTCTCTTCCTGCTTCCCATTTAGCGAATGCCCAAAATTATACCAAAGGGACAATCAGTGAGACACCTCGTCTGTCTCATCACAAATGACAGTACCAGGGAGAGAAGGGTAGCAGGGCAGGAGGCTGGGACTGCAAGGTCAGGTGTGTGTGTGTGCCATTTTGTAAAGGGTGGTCATAAAAGGGGCCTAAGGGGACGAGGCATCTCTACATGATACGCTAACCTGAATGGGTTCCTGGATTTGGGCAAAAACTACAGGAATCATATAGTCATGTTCACTGCAGCATGATTCCCAACAGCATTCCCAAAGACAGAAGCAAGCCCTATGTCCATCGATGGATGACTGGATAAACGAAATATGCATTATATAAACCATGCAGTGTTACTTAGCCTTTAAAGGGAATGAGGTATGGACACTTGCTACATCATGGATGAGCCTAGAGGACATTGTTCTAAGTGAAATAAGCCAGCCACAAAAAGACAAGTATTGTACGATTTCATGAATACGAGGTTCCTCGTGTAAGTATGATTCATAGAGACAGTAAGAGCAACTGCCAGGGGCTGGGGGTGGGAGGAATGGGGAGGTAGTGGTTAATGAGTGTAAGAGTTTCAGTCTGAAAAGCAGAGAAGGTTCTAGGGGCACCTGGGTGGCTCAGTGGGTTAAGCCTCTGCCTTCAGCTCAGGTCATGATCCCAGGGTCCTGGGATAGAGCCCCACACTGGGCTCTCTGCTCGGCAGGGAGCCTGCTTCCCCCCCAACCCCCAACTCCACGGCCTGCCTCTCTGGCTACTTGTGATCCTCTCTCTCTTTAAAAAAAATACATTTAAAAGCGGAGAAGGTTCTAGAAACGGGTGGCGGTATTGGTCGCACAAGAGTGTGAATTCACTTAATGGCACTGAACTGCACTTCCAAACGGTTCAAATGCTGAATTTTGCATTGTTTCTCTTACCATTTAAACATGACCACTAAGGAGATCTGCATAATGTACGGACATCAGTGAGTAATAACATCAATGTTGCTTCGTTCATTATAACAGTATTATCTACTCCTTGTAATTATATGCTAATGACTCTATATTACAGTATGCAACCTGAGTTTTACTCTGGGTGGGCTGGTGAGCTGCAGGTGTGAGGGGTGTGAGCAAAGGGTAGGCGGGCTTCTGTACCCATCACACTGGCTTCTGAGGGCTCACAGAGGCAGGACAAGAGCTGGGAGTGTTCAGCCAGCTTTGCCCCCAGAACCAGCAGAACAGTGAGCACTCCTGAGCCAGCCAGGGCGGCTGCGCTGGGGTGCAGCATACCGGGTGCACTTTGGAAGGGTCGTCGAGCTCCAGCCTGGCCACCACACAGCCTGCTTCCAGCGTGGCCCCCGGGTGCTCAATGTATTTGATCTGGCCACTCTCCTGCACGCTCAGGGTCATGATCATCTTCATTACCTGTTGTGCAGGAAGGAGAAATAAGATGAGCCCACCGGGATTGGCTTGCGTGTGTGTGACAGCACCAGAGTCACCAGAACCAGGACTCTGGAGCAGCCGGTGCTTGGTCATTTAAACATAATGGTTCCCTGGGCAGAGTTCAAGTGTAAAGGACGGAGGGAACTTGCATTTGCCAGAAACCTGCTGTGTGCCAGGCTCAGGGCTGTTCATGAATGATCTCCACCTGCAAAGCCATCGAGGGAGGCAGGTTATTTATTGTAGCCATTGTACAGACATGGAAACTGATCTGTATTTGTAAAGTAAAGCCTCTCTCTTAGAAATTCTGTTAAATCAAATATGGGGGTACTTAAGACACACATTCCTAAAACATGGCACATTTTGTGACCAGCTCTTTTTTAAAAGGCAGAGAGAAAACCCTCTGGGCAACCTCTGGTGAAATAAGAATGTGCTCCCTCTAGGGTGGCCAGCCCCTTTAACTGGCCTCTCCAGGAGTCCACGTGCGTGGACATGATGCATTTTGTTACTGTGGTGTGGGCTGTAGACACTCAGCATTGTGCTCCTTTTCCTCAGCAGGTCACAGCTCGGGCACCTATGACAGGCCTGGGCTGGAACCCCAGCACCCACCCTTCACTCTGTGATCTCCAGCAGATGCCTTCCCCTCCCTGAACCTCAGTTTCCCCAACTGTCGAATGAGGAAGAATGACCATCTCACCTCATAGTGCTCTTATAAGGGCCGCTCAGGAGGAACCTGGAGCCTGGCAGGAGGCCGGCTAGCATGAGCTCCTACTTCCGCTCTATTTTCACTGTCATTGTCATTTTCATTGTTATTGACCTTACCAGCATAGAATGGAGGCCAGGTGTGAACCCTAGCTCTGGGGGACCTTGCATTCCTTAGCCTGCCTGGGCCCCATTTCTTTGTGTGTGAAATGGGGATCCTATCTGTGCCCATCTGCTGTGATTGCTGGGAAGATGACAGAAGGTAATTAAACAAGTAAAATGCCTAGACTAGCACCTGCCACGTGGCAAGCACTGTGTTAAGTGTTGCCTTACAGCTTTTTAAATCACTGCCATGGTTATTATCAACCCGTCCTTCCTCACTCCCACGGAGGTATACACTTTTGAGGTTTTCCCTTTGCAGAGAATTGGAGCTGAACCCCATGCCCCGACTCTCTGAAGAATCGGCAGATGGTGGCCCAGGGGACAGGTGAGGCCAGCTGGCCTGGGGTGCAGGGGTGCAGGGGCAATGTGGGATGGTTCCCCCCTTGGGGAGCGGGGTGAAGGGGAGGCCTGGCTGCAGCCCCAACCCCAGGGCCGACTCTGTACTCACCTCCATGTCGGCATAGCTGCTCCCGGCCTCAACATGGCCCCCGTCCTCCACCGTGTACTGTATTAGCTTCCCAGCCGAAGGGGCCCTCAGGACCGTGGGATCATTCTCCTTCTCAAACACGCAAGTCTTGTTGCCGATGGTAATACGGTAACTGGGAGACAGAAGGGGCGGGTGGGTAGCTGGGGGAAGACCATCAACCCAGCGTGCCCATGTCTGGCTTTTGACAACGTTTTCCTCTTCCTGATGGCAGCCCAGAGTGTCCCCCTCCCCCCATGTGGTCTGAGAGATTCCACTCACCCTGATGCTAGCATCTGACGTTACCACAAAGATACTGGGAATGAATGGGATGTGCAAAGGGTATGACCCTTTTCTGGCTGAAAACCAGTTCCTTTTCCTGATACAATTCTAAGAGGCACAGAGAAAGCCACTGATATTCTCCAAGAAATATTTACTGACTTTAAGGCTTCACCTTATAACTGTACTGGCCAGAGTACGTCCCAGGAGGTGGGGGGTTGGTGGGGGGAAGTCTATGATAATCTTGAATATTCTTGGCAGACAGAACATGGTTAAAAAGAGGTAATATAACAGTGCTCTGGTTGGCATGAATCCAGCCTGCCTTCTTTTAAAACTTCGAGGTTTGGGAAGGGAGACAATTCTCTAAGTAGAGCTTTCCAGGCATGGGGCCTGTGGCGCAAACCACCCCCCTCCCCACCATCTCCCAACCCTGGCCTGATTCTCCTGGGCTGGAGGGGCAGAGGAAGTCTTGGCTGCCCACTCAGCCTGGCTGGCCTACACTTCACTGTACAAGCTCAAGGGTGGTCAAGTGCACCGCAAAGGGAGGGGCTCTGGGGAAGAGCTCATGATGCCTCCGTGCTAAGTACTTCCTGCACTTATGCATCCTGCATTTCACTTATCCAGGTGCACAGTGATCAGTCCTGCTCCTTCTGCTTGCTCGATATGTCATGTTCACCAGCAGGCTCCATGAGTCATGACCGTGGTCTTATCCCAAAACCTTGTCCTGTGCCCGGTACATCCAGCCCTAACTGGAAGGCTGCCTCTCCTCCAAGCCTGAGCTCAGACGACTGTGGGCGCTGCAGCTCAGACAAGGAGTGGCTGACATGCTGTCGTACACCTTGCAGGCCCTGGACTTGGGAGTCACGGCCCATTTGGCTCTGGACCCTCCCACATTACCAGAAGCAGGCCTCTTGGGAACCTCCCCAGTACGTCTGCCAGCTTTGAGGTTGTCCAGCCAAGAGACTGTCCTCTCCATGGGCCCCAGAATCTACTGGGGAAGGTATTTTTCTAAGACCCTTGGGCTGCACAGAGCTGGCTTTATATCTTTGAGCCCTGTGGGAAAGGGTGGCTCTGCGTCGTGCCCCTTGCCCCGCCCCCTACATACCTGTCAAACTCTTCTTTCATGTAGGTGGTATAGCTGTTACCGTTATAGGACAGCAGCAGCCCCCCGTCGCTTAGCCGGTGGGCATCGATCTCGATATGACAGTCGTTCATGATGAGGATGAACATGGTCAGAGATTGCCGGGCCACCTGTGGGGACAGGTTCAGTGTCCCTGCCTGAATCCAGGAGACATGCTTGTCCCTGGGCCCCAGGGCACCTTCTGCCCCCATACCACCACCACCAGGAGCAAGGGCTACAGTCCATGGTGGAGTGTACCCTCGGGGAGCAGCTGATGGGACCACAGTCAGCGTGCCGCACCTGTCCCACAGCAGGGCTAGTGGCCACCGTCTGTGGGTGCAGCCCAGCCTGGTCATCTTCTGCCAATCACATGCCCTTCTCATTTCTGCCTCTACGCATCAGCCCCAAGCAGGGTCCCCAGGAGCAGCAGGGAAGGTGCAGGGGTTGGGGTGGGGTCTCACCTTGGATGAGACAGCCCTGGAGACTCCACCAGTGACCAGGACTCTGCCCCCCCAGCCCAGCTCTGCCCAGGGGCACACAAGACCTTTGGGACCCTCAAGAGAGGCCAGGTGGCCAGGCCCTAGCCTCGGCTCTGCATTTCGATCTGACATACTAGCCCTGGGTTCATTCTGGGTGCTCTCTTTTGGAAAACAGATAGCCCTAAAGAGCCCTCGGCCTCTAAGATACATATGTTGAGAGGAAAGGTCCCAAGAAACAGAGGAATGTTTATTGCAACATTATTCATGGTAACAGTAAGACTGAGACACAAACTAGCTATCCCGCAACCTTGCAATGGAATGCTCTGGACCCCCACTGTCAAATAGAGCTAGGCCGGCTATTTACATGTAAATTAATTTAACTTAAATAATATATAGAATTCAGTTCCTCAGCGCTCAGTAGCCCCCCGTGGCCACACTGGAAAGCACAGATACAGCACATTTCTGTTCCTACGGAAAGTTCCATTGGACCGTTGGCTCTAGACACCAAACTGATATTAAGAAAACTGTTTAATAACATGGGAAAACTTCAGGCCATGATAATATCAAAGCAGTAAAACAGTATTTGCACCATGATCTCAACTTTGCAAAGTCTGTGCTGAAACGTTCATGGGGGTTCCCTCGATGTTTTATGCTTTTTTTGAAAATTTAAAATTTTATACAGTAAGCATGTGTCACATTTAAAATCCTGCCGGGGGAACCAGGCCCCCTAAATAGTCAGGAAGCATGGATGGGTAAAGAGGAGTGGTTTCAGAGCAGGGCCCCATGGAGAACATACTTGTTTGACTACATCGACCCTGAATATCCCCAAAACTGGAAGGGTAACACATGCTCAGTCATCTTAAAAATAAAGTAACAGAACAAAAAAATTCTGCCTCAAAGGCAGAGTTGAGTTCTATGTTATCTTTTCCCTCCCGAGAAGGAGGCCTTAGCTTCTTGGGGACACTTGGCCCCCACGGGTCACCCTGACCTGGACCCAGGGTCTGATCCTGTGCCCATACATCTCAGACACGCTGATATTCTCTCTGAAATGACCTCAGATGCCCCAGGAAGGGTAACAGGATACTTCTGACAGAGCACAGCAGCACCAAGTAAACCGCCCGGGAAGCCCAAGGTGGACCAGGGAGAGATCCGAAAGCCATATGTTGACCTTTAGTGCAGACACACAAGACAGAGCTGGCCTCACGGCCCCTGGAAATGGAGCCACACACTATGCCGGCTCAGCAAAGGTCCTGCTCATGCTTGGTACTGAACTGGATACTGTGCCCCCAAATTCATGTCCTTCCAGGCACCTGTGCATGTGATTTTATTTGGAAATAGTGTCTTTGCACATGGAGTTAGTTAGATGAGGCCATTCTGAAAGAGGGCGGGCTCTAAATCCTGTATGAGTGGTGTTCTTCAGAGCAGAGACACACAGAGGAAGACAATGTACACACACACACACACACACACACATACACACAGAAAAGGCGGCAGAGGCATAGCTTGGAGTGACGGTCTAACAGCCACGGAACACCAAGGTCGGCCCCACAACCACCAGGAGCTAGGAAAGCATGAAACAAATTCTTTCCTGGAGACTTCAAAGGGCCCAGCTGACACCTTAATTTTAGACTCTGGCCTCTAGACTCAGAGAGAACACACTTCTGTGTGTTGAAGCCACCGGCTCATGGTTCCCTATTACTCAGCCCCAGAACCCAAATACACAGTCCCCTGTACACTGTGTGTATTGCACAAGGCTACACACTTCCAAGCCCTAAGTGCTTAGGTTTCAAGGGCACGGGACTGCCTGGGGAGTCCCAGCACCCAAGCAGGAGCAAGTCCACTCCAGAAAGAAAAACTCCCATCAGCCTCCAAAATGCTGGAGACATCCGAGAAACCCAGGGTCTTCACCTTGAGGATGTACTTAACACCTCCATAAATTAATTCCACATCCACGATGTTCAGCAGAGAAGCTGCAGGAAGGACCTGGCCCCTGAAAGAAAAGAGACTTGCAGTCGGCTGTGGGAATGAACGAGAACACTAGGGCCACCCTCTAGATTTAAACTAGTCACCCAGCTCTTTGCCTCGCCTAAACACCAACACATCTGGCTGTATTTAGAAAGCTAAATCCGATGGAAAGGCAAGGAATGTGACACTGCTCAGAACTTAAGGGAACAGCACTTGCTGAAGGGTGAGAAATTTCAAAAGGGCTTTCCAGGAAGCAAAATCCTTAATGCTCATTCTGGGAAAAAATTCCCAATGTGGGAAGGAAGGTGACACAGGCATTGTGACTCTATTACTCTGCACAAGCATGACAACCGCTCTAACATCTTTTGCCTTTCTAAAGTTGTTTTGGTAGCTTTATTTGCCTATCACAGTGTCTCTAGGGGTGATTTCTGCCTCTACCCCAGGACCTTTGGCCATGTCTGGAGACGTATTTGATTGTGGTGACTCCTGGTGGAGAGATGGGGGACTCCTGCTAACTTCCCACAGTGCACAGGAGAGCCCCCACAATAAAAAAATCAGTCAAAAATGTCAAGGGTGCTGGTGCTGAGAAACACTGGCCCATCCTCATGGTGAGCCCGTGGCTGCTTCCACGCTGGTCACTTCACTAGCCACGCCCGACTCAGGGGAGGGTCCGGAAGGAACGTTTGCAGAGGTGACCCATCACCTGCTTTGCTTCTCAATTCACCTCCTCTCTGAACTCAAGGGCTATGAAGTACCTTACACAAGTCAGCATGACTAGGACTACAGCCATGTGCCTGGGGCTGGCCCCCTTGAGACCCCCCCCACCAGCGGCCTCCTCTCCTGCAGCCTTGGTTCACAGGAGAGGAATTTCAGAGGCAAGCACAGAGGCGGGATTCCCTAATTGCCTGCTGCCTGATTCTCCCTTGCTTGCCACTAACACACATCCCGTGGAGGAGGGGTGAACTACCCCTGCACCCTACCTTTCCAGCGAGTGTAAGAAATCCGTCATGCAAGTTCTGAACATCGAGTCGGCCACGTTCAAGGCCCCGCACACCACCCCGAGCATGATATCTGGTTTCTCAGCCTAGAAGAGACTTCAGTGTCAGTGGTGACCAAGCCCACGGGGAGCCCGGAAGTGGGGCGGGGGTGGGGGGCCTCCGTGACCCTGAGGGGAGAACAGGGCAGCTCCCCACCTGCACTTTCTCAGCAATGAGGTGATCCAACCAGCCAGTGTCGATGTCATTGTTCTGGTAGTGCTCAGTCTCCAGCAGGTTAATGAGATACTCCACGGTGGTCCTGAAGTCGCCCCGGATGGACAGTTCCTTCAAAGCCACCACCATGTTCCTTGAGGGGAAAGGCACACGGATCGTTTTCCAAATTAACATACATGTCGGCAGAGCTCCTGCCTGGTTCTTGGAGAGCCCAGAAGAGCACAGTTGAGAGAGGGGCCTGAGTCCAGCGGCCCAGGTGTCCATTTCGGCTCCAGCATTTACTGGTCAGGCCATCTTGGGCAAGTGACTTAATCACTCTGGGCCTCAGTTTCCTCATCTGGAAAATGGGGAAATAACCCTGACTTCACACAGGTGCTGGGAGAATTAAAATGAGACAATCCATATAAAGCACATAGTCTCCGATAAATAAGGTCAGCCATTATGAACATGATGAATGGCCATGATTATGATTCTTATTAACCACAGCCGGTTGCTCTGCCTCCCTGCAGCTGGACCTCTTCAAATCCCCATGTCCCAGAGCAGGTGCTACCCCCCACCGCCCTGGGCAGTCCAGACAGCTGCTCTGCGGGGTATGCTTGAGGTGTGTCTAACAGAAGGCCAACGCTGTTACCCCACCCAGGGTGTGGCAGTCACCTGTCTGCATGTGCTCCGTTGGTTACCACCTCCCATTTCCCAGAGGGATGGCCTCTCCCCAAAGAGGGCTCCAGCCCGAAGGGCTGAAGCCCCCACTCCCTAGGAAATCACAGGGAGACTGTACCAGAGAAAGAAGGGGCACTAGAACAATTCTCCTGGGAGAGGAGAGCTTTTACACCTGTCATGGCATTCCCATGTGCATTCAGCAGGCATGGCAAAGGGGTAAGAACAACCCCAATTCGGGGCCAGGGAAAAAAAGATGCACTGAGGTCAAATGAGCTCATCAGTAGTCAGAGGAAAGTCAGGTGCAGGCCCGGAGTCTGCAGGTAAGCATTAAGCCGTTGGGCTCAAATGTGACCAACTTGTTCCAATTTGCTCAGGACATGCCCAGTTTTAGCAGTGAGAAATCCTAAATCCTGGGACACCCTCAGTCGTGGGGAAGGGGACACAGCTGGTCCCTCTATTAGACCGTATTAGCGGCCCTTCGGTGGCTCAGCTGGTAAAGTGGCCAACAAGATTTCTGCTCAGGTCATGATCTCAGGGTCATGAGAGCCCCTGCGTTAGGCTCTGTGCTCAGTGGGAAGTCTGCTTAAGGTTCTCTCTCTTCCTCTCCCCCTGCTCCTCTCCACTAATGCTGTCTCTCTCAAAGAAACAACAACAGAATTTTTCCCTCTGAATTCTTAAGTCCATAGGCCTATGACCAGCATAGGACAAGCCACAGGCTGTTTCCATCAGAGATCAGAATGGGCCGGACTGACTGGCCTCCCTCCCCTTTCAATTTTTCACTCAGCCTGATTAAAACTGATTGCATGAAGCTAGCAAAGAAAGCCACTCATCAAAATCACCAAACTCAATTTAAATCACGACTAAGTGCCCTGGGCTAGATAGATTTCAATGTTTTTTTTTATTATGTTTTAAGTTTATTTAAAAAAATTACAATTTTTCTTTCCTCTTTTTTTTTTTTTTT